CATCTCTCAAGCAAGTCAATTAACCGTGTACAGAATCCTTTTCATAATAAATTTAGAATTCTAAATGCAATTTAGATTTGCTATAAATCCAAATTGTTGCTTTCTCTGTCTACTGTGACCAATTTTTATTTGGCCTTTACTTTGTTTACATTTTTATGTTGTATATTTCAAGCATTGTCTAAGGTAGTCATTGTATGATACTTTATATTTATGACAGTTTCATTACAATTTGTGGTTCAAATGAGAATAAAAATACTACGTGCACTGGTAATAAGATCAAGCACGAATGCTTGTTTTTATGACTTTATGATATAGAAATGGTGGTCAGATTTTTTAAGCTATGTCTATGAAAAGAATTTCACTCTAAATATTTACCTTGAAATCAGCTGAAGTGTATGATTATCTAAAATGAAAGGTTTGGGTTTCTTGTTTAATTTCACATAAGCAGTTGAAAAAAAGTGACATATGACTGTCTTTCATGACAAACTGCTGATTTGGTGGATGAAGTATTCATGGCCAGTATAAAGTGAGATGTGCCAGGAAAAACTGTACATTGTCAGAGCTTTTTTCATGTTATGGAGTTAAGGAAAAGTATGTATAATTAACAGTCTGTCACAAAGCTTAGACTATTAACACGGGGAGTTGGAGCAGACAGACAATTTGGTATGTTTTAGTTACTCTAATATTTCTAATGACTAGATTAATGCCTGATACATAAAAAGTAACTAGATATTGTGCATATTTGAATTTTGACTTAATATTTTAATTCCATATAATCATTCCATGCATCTAGTATTTGAAAAATGAGAATAAAAAGCTAATACAAAAATATAATTTATTATAAATATTTCCCATTGACGATCTAGCTATGAAAAATGCTAAACATATATCCTAAATATATGAACTAAAAATTAAAACTATGGAGGTGTAAAGATATAAGCTACATTATTTGGATACAAGTTGCATGCAAACATTGATGTTTCCAGGAAAATAACACTGTTTGGTAGAATCAAATCATAATAAATCCTGCTAACCATCTCAATCAGAACTGAATCAATTCAGAGGAGTAAAAGGGACATATTTTTGTTCTTGAAGATAGTAATATTAGCATAATTGGGTGAACAGTGAACTTCCTTTACATAAATATTCAAAAGTCAAGTTGATTCTGTAGTTCTGAGACACTACATTGATGAGGTTCAAAGCAAGTACTCGGGAATAGAAAGAGGGATGAATCCATTAAACAGTAGAGTAAGCAAAGGAGAATAATGATGACTCCATGGTCGATAATTATGACAGGAGCCTAACAGCCAAGAGTGACAATCTTATTTGAATTGTTATGTGTGACAATGAGAACAATGGAATCAGTTAAATAATCTAAGTTACAGAGAAAAATGAGGCTGAGCATAGTTTTACACTTACTAAATTAATGTGGATTTATACACTGAGCATTTGAATGTATAAATCTAACTCACAAGCAGGAAAAATATTTGAGAATCATCATCCTGGTAAATAATTATACAATGTATGCCTCTTCTGCAATCATGGGATTATTGATTGCAATTAAACTCATTATTTCGATTCAGTTTGAAGTGAAAAATACATTCATCATTTATTTTCGCTTGTATGAAATTCTTCTTCTTTTGTGTAGTTCATAACTACCTACTTATTGTAAATTGTGATGTCCTAAACATAGGCCTGATTAAGAGTTTGTCTGGTAAATATTTGGTTTGAAAATATTTGTTTTGGTTGTACTTTTTAGTCAGAGAACAGTAACATTATGATCACCACTTTAGACTTTAAATTTCAAGCACTTAATTGCTTGACTGAACTTATCATGCATCAGGAATGTTCACATCTGGTCAGATAGGGAGATCGGTGTTTGCATATCCCGGTCTTCACTGCTGAGTTAAGATACTTTACTGGCTAGTTTACAAAGTTTTGCTCTTTTATAGCTATGTAGTGTGGAGCCTTATATAGCATATACCTCCCTGAAGCAGTTTCTTGCTCATTCTATCTGGTAATGAGAGTATGTATCACTTACACTGCATAAAATCATGGAAGCTGGAAAGAAAAACTAATCTGATCAAATCAGTCAACTACCAGGAATGACCACATTTCTATTTTATTTTAGGGATATTATTTAAGACCAAAATAAGATTTAAAAGAGCTAGTATTAAGTAGGAATCTAACACCAAGATAATTTTAGGAGTTTCATTCATATAAAATTTTCTGGGAAAAGATCCAAATAATTAAATGTAGCTGCATGATTTCAGTGAGATATAAGTTGAGCATTTGGAAGATGAAAGGCATGAGTTTGAAACAAATGTCTACCTTGTTTTTCAAATTGGAAACTGCAACAAGTCTGCCATGCCTACATGCATAGTTCTTCATCAGTTGTATACAAGAGTCAAGCAGTGGTTCCAACAGCAGACTATTTGATTTGCAAGCTTGTTGTGAGGATGTTCAGCGATCATGTATTCCACAGAGGCCTGAAAGAGGGACGCATTTGTTCTGGTTCCAATAGTTGTGTTTACGTCAAAGGGAATAATGTTCTTGGTGTCGAGGGCCTTGGTATGAACAGTCTAAGAATGGTCTCTGCCTTTTTAGGGATTACTAGAAAGAAATAATGGAATCAAAAGTAACTAATGTAGATGCTGGAACAGAAGCAAAGCAGAGTGGTGAGAGTGTCTTAGATGGCAGTAAAGGGCTGCTGAGGAGAGACTGATCTGGGGGAGGCGAAAGGAAGGTGACACTTGGTTGAATACTACAAAACAGTAACTTAAATAATGCCTGGCAATTGAGGTACTTTGGGGAGAAGACACTGAGATCTGAGTAAGTAAAAGTCTAAAAGGCTTTGAGGGAAATTTAAGAAAAGTTGCTAAGAAAGCAGATAATTGGACTGAGAGATGTTAATACTAAAAATAGTTGGTAATATGGACAAACTTTTCTGTCATCACAAAACTCCCCATTTTCTTTGTGATATGTAGTTTTTGCACATTTTAACTGTTTTATATCTGCACAAATATACACATAGATATATTTGATAGTGATTTTTGGGAAGAAACTTCTCACATTTTGAGAACAAATGCAAGAGATACAAATCATGGTAATGTCCTTCACAACAAATATCTTCACAGATCCTATAAATATTTTGAATATAAAATATCTCAAATGTAAATATCTGCACATCTGGACATTATAATAAAATATAAATTTAAAAAGCTTTTCCAAATAGTTTATCAAGTTGTAATAAAATTATCACATGAAAAATTAATTAGAAAAATATTTTATAAATGTTATCAAATATATATATATATATATATATATATATATATATATAGTGCCAAAATACTAATGAAAATTCAAACTAGTAAATGACATATGCTACTGGTTTAACATATCCATGTAGCTAAATATCCCATATTTGCTATACATTTACTTTTCTTAATATATCTACACTTTTATAGAGAACAGGACTAAGTATCTAAGTATCTCATATTTTAATTATTTTTGACAGAAAATCCTATGTCATTTTGACTTGCTATGCTTTTAGTTTCTTTTAGTTTTATCATAGACATGTATAACTTTTAAAATTACTTATTTTAATAAAATTTTACATTTTACCATCCACTTTCTTATCTTTTTTTTCATTTACAAAACTCTGAACTTCCTAAAGACAAATTCACTATAAATTGGTGAAAGCAGCTATATCATTGTGTGTTGTAGGATAATCTTAATATAGGATTTTAGAAGCTTATTTTATCTGAACTATATTTCAAGATAATAAAATGGAATGTATGAAATTATTGTTAGTGAAAAGGAATTATGGACAATAGAAGTGAGAGAATGTTAAAGAATAAAAAGTCAACTTTAGAAGGTGTACATTGGACTTGTATGAAAGTAGCTATGTTCTCATTTTATGTTAACTGGAATTTAATATTTATTAAAATTCTTTAAAAGAGTGTTTGATTTTGGCTCGGGAAATGGTAATATCAGATCAAAGAGTTTTGCAAGTTTTTATAAGTTATACTAGGGACTTTAATATCCAAACGATTGCTCATGTAAATATTGACAGCAGAAAATTGAGAGGAGTTGCTTTTCTTTTATATTCCTTTACAGACATTAACTGTACATAGAATTGGTTTCTACCTATAAGTCATTCTTTTGAGTCATTCAGACATTTAGCTCTAAATACAGATTTATTTCCCCATAAAACTAAAAATAATTCACAAAACAAAGAAATTAATTGATTCCTCTCATGAATATGTGTGGTTTTTATCTCAAGTGAATTGGAAATTCTATTTGATAGGTGTAAATATATCCCAACAATGGAAGTAAAATCCAGAATACTACAGATCATCCAATATATAGTATTTTCCATAACATCGGTTACTTTTCAACAAGGGGAAAATTTACATCATCTGCAACTCGTATTTTTGTCTGAAAAAGCTTGTTAAATTTATAAAAAAACTCTTCATTGTAGCAGTGGAATACAGAATGAACAGCCTGTTCAGATAAAAATTTCACAGACATCAGACATTTTAGAGAACACAGTATTTTTTTCTTATTGCATAAAACTGGATAATTGCTATTAGAAATAACAGCATGCAGATGTACATATATGCACATTGTGAATATTCCTTTTAGCATATTTTAGTTGCACAAAATATACTAACAAAGTAAAGTATAGGATGGTGGTAGGAAGGATAAAGAAGGGATACAAGCTGGATTAAACAATGAAGGGTGAGAAAATAAAATTCCTAGGACAGAAGAGGTATAAGTAGATATAGCGATAATTTCACATTCATATAGGATTGAACTATAATAGGCTGCAGATACCGTTTGTCATGGCGTATGTCTGTGGCCCCCAGGGCTCATGAGTTTGCATTGTGCATTTGTGATTGTTCATTGTCTAGTGCTTGGATTGATGGTGTCAGTGCTCCACCCACTTAGGGGTGGGGCCAGGATGTGATGTAATGGCAGGAAGAAGGTGTGTCTTGCTCTCCGCTGGTTCCTGCTTGCTGTTTGCAGTCGCCATGAACTGCAGCTGTGCCATGCCTGCCTGCCTTGGAGCCAACTGAGTGTGCACTGAAATCTCCAAAAACTGTAAGAAGTAAACCTTTCCTTTCCCAACTTTGGGCTTCAGGTATTTTGTCTCAGCAATGAGTAAAAAGTAACTAAGACACCGTTTGAGTCTAGATGTCTCCCTAAAACCCCTTGAGGTAATAGGCAGCTTTTTAGAGGAGGCTGGACCCAAAATGTGTGACACAGGGGTTGAGTTTGGGATGCTAGTGTGAAATCACGGGGTGCTAGGATTAAGCGTGCTATAGCCTGGATAGGAGTGCTGTATAACCTAAGGATAGATATCTTGGCTAGAATGCAAGAAATAGAAAGAGAGCTGTTTCTGTCACTTAATACCTCACAGATTTGCTGATTGCTGTGCTCTACTTGCCATGAACTATTTCTCTTTTACCATGTCACCCTGCCTTGAAGCTAACCAAGCATAAACTGAAACTTCTGCCAACTGTGAGCCACAATAAATCTTGCCGCCTTTTAAGTTTGAGTGTCCAGTATTTTGTCTCAGTAATGACAAAAATAACTAGGGCAGATATATAGGATGTAGTCAAACTTTATCTGCAGTTTATATGATCAACAACGTAACATATACCTTCCCTTTCATTCATGGTATCTACTAACTAATGCATCTATTCATTGACAATTATGACTATAGAAAAAGTCTTTGTACAAGCAACATCACAGAGAAAGTTGAATAGACAGGAGAAAAGATCTGGGATAGGGTTTTACAATCATTTATTGAATATTATTGTATTATGTAATTTTCAAGTAGCTATATAAACAAAAGGTTCAATAATTTATATTTATTGTATTTGATAACAATGTCACAAATCTGTGATTGGTGCTAAGATTTCAAATGACTGAATCTGAGTTGAAAAACTCATGAGTTTGACTACAATATTATCCTCTCTCCAAAATCTGAATTCAAATTCATAGCATCAATGTTTACTGAGGATGCTTGATCATTAACATAATATTCTGATAAGGATAGTAATGTAGTTTTGGTAGTTGGAAAATAACTTTGATAATCTATGTTTCTCTGTGCTCTTAAGGTGCACATTAGTTAAATGATGAGTGAAAAACAATGTTTTAATAAAATGTTTATTAAAATAAACAATGTTTTATTAAAAACATTATTGGATATCGAATTCAATTTTTTCCACTGATTATTTTTCAACCTTTGTATAGTGTTTTCATTCTTATAAAGTAATGAAGAATATGACATCTTGATTACTTAAACTTTGTTTATTTAATATTTTCTTTTCAAGTTTGGAAAATATTTTCTATGACTTAACAGATTGAGGAGTTAGACATCAAATTTAACCTTACTTCAATATGATATTTTGTAAAATTTTTCCTAAAATAATTTTGGGTTTGCTAAACTCATCCTCTTGTTTTTTATTTTTGTTGAACTACTACAATTCGTATGTAGTGTTAACCTCATCTCATTGGAGATTTTAAAATATTTAAAAATAGCAAAAAATTATGTATGTTTATGAAAGACATTACATGTTTTATCTCACACATCTTACTTTAGCCTGTGAGTCCAAACACGTTACTTCATGATAATGACAATTTAGATATCCAAAAAATGGGAGAAATGGATAAATCAAGTGTTATAGTTGTGTTTGGATTGTGACCCCATGCCTCATGCAATCATGAATGGCGCTGAATCCAGCATTTGTGATTGGTTCATTATATAGCACTGGGATTAGTGATCTGAGTGCTATATCCATCTAAAGGTGGAGCCCACATACAGTGTAAGGGTGGGAAGTAGGAATGCCTTTCTTTGCAAGATTTGCTCTTGCTGTTTTGCCAGGCCCGTGAATGGCAGTGCTGCCATGCTACCCTGGCTTGGAGCCAGCTGAGTATGGACCGAAACCTCCAAAATTGTAAGAAATAAACTTTCCCTTTCCTAATTTTGGGTTACAGGTATTTTGTCTCAATAATGAGAGAAAAGTAACTAAGACAGAATGTATTACCAGAGTAGTGGAGTTGCTGCTGTCACTGTCCCTGATAATGTGGTTAAGCGCATTTGGGAATGGCTTGTGGGGAAGAGTTTAGAAAGGTTCAGAAATGTCACCTGAATGCATAGAGCTGGAACAGCTTAGGGTGTTCTGTAGGGGAGATTCTGGTCAGAGTTCAAGATACCAGAAAACTGATAGAAAGTCTACTAGTAAAGACCAGGCGCAGGAAGTGTCTGCTGGAAACAAGGACTTTATTGATTGTTGAACTTCACATGATGTGTGTTATGGCTTGGCACAAAGTTTGTCTGAATTTTGCTCATGTCCAGAGACTTTGCCTTAGACTGAGATTAGGGGTGATTACTGATTAATCTGGCAAAAGAAATTTCAAGGCAGTTAAATGTTGAGGCGGGGCATGGCAATTGTTGGAGACTTTTAGCCATATTTATGTTGTTAAAAGCAAAGAGCCCAGCAGGATGATTCAAAGCATTGTGAGTTTGACAAGAAAGCTGCGAACTGTAAAGATAGAGCTGAGACCTCCATTGCTGAAAAGAAAAAGGAAAAAAAAAATTTTTAAAGATGGCCTTGGAGCATCCGGGAAAACAGAGGGTGTCTTCCCTTTGCACCCTCAAAACTGCAAAAGTAAAAGACTTTGCTCAGAGAAAGCTACAGAGTGGCTGTGTTCCAGAGTGGCAACAGAGGCCATACGAGGTTCCAAATGGTGGCAGCCACACCATACACCAAAATGGCAGTGGCATAGGAAAGCTGTTCCTCACAATCAGGTTCAGAGAGCTCAAATCTAGGCACTTGACCCCTACAGCCAAGAGAGAGAAAAGTCAGGCTAATGCTCCAGCTGGTAGTGGAACTTGGTAGTATTCACATAGTGCTGGCTTTAGGTAAATGGAGAATGCATGAGTTCTGAGGGTAAAGCAGCTTCCACCCAAATTTCAGAAGGCCTGGGAGGTGAAGCAGTGTGCCCTTAGAGGGCAGTATATGAAGCTGTGAGTGTAAAGCCAGTGATGCAGTGGAGACCCCAGAAGTTTGGAAAAGCCAGAAACATGGGTCATGCCAGGAAAGCTGCAAAGACAGCAGAGTGAGCTTGACAGAAAAGCTGTGGGAACTAAAATCCCTGGAAGATCCATGGAGGGTGGAGTCACTGAAGTCTTTTGGAGCTCACAACCAGGTTGCTTCAGATGTTGTATGGAACTCAGGACTTAATGCTTGCTTTGCTGGATTTTGTACTTGCTTTGCTTCCAATGCTTTGCCTTCCCTGTTTGTAACATTTGGAATGGCAATGTTTATCTTGTGTCATTGTGCATTGGAAGTGTTTAAGTTTGTTTTCATTTGTACAGAGGCTTGCAGCTAAAGCTTGTAAGAGATATTAGAAAAGACTTTGGACTTAGACTTGTTAACAATGCTGAAACTGTTAGGACTTTGGCAACTCGTGGAGATGGACTAAAGTGTCTTTTATATAAAAGATGTGCATGAGTCTTTTGGGGACCAGGGTGCAATCTTATGGTTTGTGTTCAGATGCCCCCACAAGCCACATGCAACCATGGATGCTGCTGAATCCAGCATTCATGATTGGTTCATTGTCTAGCACTGGGATTGGTGGTGTGAGTGCTATACTCACCTAGGGGTGGAACTGACATATAGTATAAGGGTGGGAAGATGGCTTGTCTTTTTTTTTTTTTTTTTTGCATGGTTTGCTCTTGCTGTTTTGTGGGGGCATTGAACGGTAGCCCTGCCATGCCACCTTGCCTTAGAGCTAGCTGACTGTAGATCAAAACCTCCAAAATTGTAAGAAATTAACCTTCCCTTCCATAATTTTGGGTGTCAGATATTTTGTCTCAAGAATGAGAGAAAAGTAAGTAATACAATTAGAAACACCTAAAACTTTGAATTTAAGAATTTTTTTCCTTAAATTTAGTAAATGTGGGAGTTTACATTAATATGGGAGTAGATTTAATGTCTCAAATTCAATGCTAGTTGATGTATATCTCCAAGGAAATTTGTTCAGGTTGAAAGACATAAAACGACAAATCTGGGCACAAATGCAATCATTAATATGATGGTTGAAAGTATACAGTAATCTCCTTAAAGAAGGATTGCAGCATGTTCCAGTTGTGCCTAGGGCTTAAAGAAAAAGAATCTCATAGCATCTGGTAAAAGATACAACTTTACAGAGAGACTTGATATAAGAACTTGAGCTTTAGTTGTAGTGGGCAGATGGGGTCAGAAGAAAGGAGTAAAACACATTTCTAGGAATGCAAGGCCAAGAAACGCACATCCTGCCACAGGAGGAAGGAAGTGGGAGAGATGGTAAGTGGACATCTTGGTGAAGCTGTCCAGCTACTGCTGATTAGATCAATCTGACTGCTAGAAATACATCTCAGTCCAAGTCCCAACCACTGAAGAAAATAAGTTTTCTGTATTATTTTGGTCAGTTACTGAATAGTGTATGCATTTTTACCCCAAAGAGGGACAAAACTGTTTGACAGATAATTGATATTGTTCAATATAAAAACTATTTAAAGAATATTTTATTGTATCATATATGTTTAAAATTTTAAATTGGCTTAATATTTTAAATTAATACAATAATCTCACTTTCATAGGAAATAATATCCTAATCACCAAATGGGATCACATCAAATTAAAAAAGCTTCTTCACTGCAAAGGAAACAATCCATAGAGTAAAGAAACAATTTAAAGAGTGGGAAAATTTTTTTGTCAGATATGCCTAATAAAATTGGCTAATTTCTAGAATATACAAAGAGCTAGAAAAATTAGATCACCCAAACTTAAAGATCCTGAAATGAATAGACACTTCTCAAGTGGCCAATAAAAAAATTGAAAACCACTCAATATCACTGGCCATTCCAGAAATGCAAATTAAAACAACTCTGAGATTCCATTTCATTACAGAAAAAAATGACTATCTTTATATAATCAAATAATAACTAATGCTAGAGAGGCTGTGGGGAAAATAGGAATTTCTTTTAAATTGTTCTGGGAATGTAAACTGGTAAAACCACCATTGCAATCAGTATGGAGATTCTTCAAAAAATCCTCAGAAAATTAAAAGTGAAAATTCTATTTGACCCAGTTCTTTCTCTTCTACATATCCTCCCAAAGCAATTAAAGACATTATATTACAGTGATACATGCAAACCCATGTTTATAGAAGCACAGTTCGTAATAGCTCAATCTTGGAAGCAGCCAATATGTTCACTAACAGATGAATGGATAAAGAAAATGTTGTTTTTATGTACAGTGTGTACCACTGTGCCATAAAAAAGGATAAACTAAAGACATTTATAGGAAAATGGATATCACGAACATGTACCAACTCCCTATAATGCATGGAATCATTGTGTACTACAAACATGCACCAAAAAGACAATAACATTTTAAAAATAACAAAAATGAATGTTAAAATATTTCTATCCTGGGGGTCATTGTTTTACCTCATGTGGTCATAGAGTCTATTTATTTTTTAGATGGCTGAATCTACAATATGAGATTGATGGTGCTATGCTGAGATTAAGGATGCTCAGATTAAGGGCAAATGATTGTTTGAGCAGTACACTGATTGTATTGGCACTGTCCTAATCCCGGTAGATTGGATGTAATATAAGGGAAATGAATGAAGATTGTCTTGCTCTCATTTGCAATTTTCTGTTGCCATGAACTGTTGTCTCTCTGCTGTGCCACCATTCCTTGGAGCCAGCTGATTTTGGACTGAAATCTCTAGAAACTGTGAGCTAAATAAACCTTTCTTCTTGTAACTTTGGGAATTTGGTATTTTGCCCCAGCAATGAGAAAAATAACTAAGACATTGGGTTTCCTAGAAAATACAACTTCATATATAACTTACTTATTAATTTTCATTTTTTATTTCAAAGGTGAAAGCATAGGGGAAAAAGTCATACTTCCTACTTTTATAAATTTGTAATCTCATCTGAAATGTATAAAGTTGAATACATTAAACTAAAAAGAATTGGGTTACAGAAACAAGATACAATGATATTTCTATAATATCTACAAAGGAGTCTGAAGAAGCATGATTTAATCAAACAGAACAACCCAAAAAAGAAAGTAAAGTATTTATTTTAGGAGAGACAGGTCTGAGCGCTAATGAATTGTGCAAATGTTTCTGGATTCCAGAAAACATTCAAGAAAGTACTGATGTAAGTATGTCTGATTCAAGTCTCTAAAAATATTAATTTTTGTTCTAATTTCATTTTATACCACCATTTTGTTTCTAAACTGATCTCACTCACTCTAGTCATTTGGTCTTCCAGAAAGTTTTTTATAGACTCTAGGCAGGCATGATCTTAACAACTAGCCAGCTATTCCCTGTGGAGAAATATTCTTTCTTTTTATGTCTTTCTGAGACATTCACTATGCATTTCAGGCTGGCCTCGAGCTCACAACACCCTCTTCCCTCAGCCTCTAAAATTCTGGGATTACAGCTATGTGCTGTCATTACCAACAATGAAATACTCTCTTACCAGAAAACGTATAAGTGGTTTCCCTTCCCAAACTCAAGGTGTTGCGAAAATGTCATCTATGTAATGAAATTGATCTTACCTCAATTTAAAAGTACAACCTAGAAACAGAGCTTTTAGATTTAGTGGTAGAAGTTGTAGCATTTTACACATATACCAATAGTGCTCAAAGTTTCCAATTTCCAAAATCTCCACCTCTCACCAACAGTTATTGTATTTTGTTCTTTTTAAAAAATAGTAGGTATGAATATGTGTAGAGGTGGTACTCTAACTTGGTTTCCATTTTTCTAATAGTGATGTTGAACATTTCTTCATGTGTTTACTTATTAGTACATTAGGACTGAATACTTCGAGGACTTCTATATTTCTTATTGAACACTAAATATACCTTTAAAGTAGAAATGTAGGTTTATGCTGTACAGTTTAAAGTATCTAAGTGTCCACCCCTTCCCTCCCCAGGCAGCACAAGCAAGCAAACCAAAGAGTCCAGGTCGAAGTTGTAGCTTCAGCGTGTAAAACCTGCTTACTGTGCAGAAGGCTATGGGTTCTGTTTCAGCATTACACCCATGAACAAGCATTCAAAGGTAACACCGCTAAACTCTGCACTTAAAAATGGTTAACATGGAAAATGTTATATATGTTTTTATTACAATTTTAAGAAAAGCAATCCACTTTCTCCTTGCATTCATGACTACCTCACTCTATATTTTGTTATTCTATATTCCTCAGAATTTTTAGACCTTTTTATTTTAATATACTTCAAATACCTTACATTTTACTATATATTTCTTTACTACTTCCATTCATTAAAATGAAAATTTCACAAAACATGCCATATTTTCTATTATTTTTTAATTAGATATTTTTATTTTATTAGTACATGTTTGCAGTTCATACAGTTTACAATCATACTGGGAAATGATTACGTGTTTACACCATGACTTGTTCCTTTTTGTTAATCTCTTTTCCCTTCTCTCTCCTTCCCTCTCTCTTCCAACTCCTCTATCTCTTTGTTCATTCTTGATGATATTTATTTTGTTTGTTTTATTTTAAAGAAAAATGTTTATGATATATCTTTGCAATATTTCTATCATTAAAGGAATATTTAATGAGCTATTGTTTGATGTAAGAATGAATTCAAAGTTATAAATTTAAAAAAAAACAGTAAAAACTGAAGGAAAACAAGTCAAATTAAGTGAGAGTATATAGTGCAGAAATAGATTCACAATGACATTACATATGGTAATTATCAGTAAAATAAGTAATTGTGGGTTCTTTGTAACTCAGATGCACAACTAGAATTAGGCATGCAAGGGAGGTAAGGAACATTCTAATAATGTAAAACAGAAAGAGAATAGAAAGTGGTGTATATGATACTTTTAAAATAAGGATGAAGAGTTGCAGATTGCAGCAAATTTTCAGGAATTCTTTGGCTGCGTGATTTAGAGTCACCCATGGGAGAAGTCTCATCTAGAAAGATAATTGACTGTGTCTAATAAAGCCATGAAGACTGGTCACTGGCTGAGAGCAAACGAGAAAATAGGTCTTCACTGTGAATATTGTAGAGCATTCAAAAGAGCAGCAGTAATGACTCTGGAAGTGTGCTTTCTTTATTAATCTCCATACAACGTGTATCAATAACTGCTTCAAGAATTACAAAAGGTAAAAAGAAAAGAGAGAAATAAATGTGTTAAAAATTAACTAGGGACATACAAAAAAGTACCAGTCAAGTTATATGAATGTTTACAGTGGTTGATGTGAAAGTAAGAACAGGTGAGTTAATTGTTAGATTAGCAGATACAAAAGAACTAGGAGTATCAGTTGAATGGGCTGCTGATAATAAAGCACTGAAAAAAGATGGAAAAATAAGGAGATTAAAGACCAAGGAGCGCTAGATGAAAAGTTGTGAAGAATACCAATCTATATTTCAGATGAACAGAAAGAAAAAAACAGAGAAAGGGCACTAATGGAAGAAACAATAGCTGTGAAATTTTCCAAATTGTTAAGTGATTCTAATTCAAATACTCAGGAAGTGTAACATATCCAAAATTATGCTAATTAAATCATCAACAAGGCATATAATATGAAAAATGTGTTAGCATAAAGTAAATAGAAAAATATGTCAAAGCAGCTAGAGATATTTGGCAGATTATATGCGTGCTGTTTACTTTTTAACAATAATGTTGGTAGGCAACAAGTCAACATTTTCAAACTGCAAAATCTCAAACTAATTTTCAGCTAATGATTAAAGTTTTAATTGGAAAAAATGATTTTAATGTAAATTTAGACAAAATATACAGCAAACGCTCACTAAAATAATGTCTCAATGAAAATGAAACATTTATATGTAAATATCACAAATATTAAATATGTACAAATAGCATCATGCCAATTTTATTAAGGTAAAAACCAAAACTACAACCTTATGCAATAGTTAAAAACCAAGATAAACATAAACTCATGTATAGCAATTATTTTCTTAGTTTTACCGAAGGTTAATAGGGTAAATACATTCTTCCATATCTTAATGTTAATGAGACTTGCAACATGGAACATTTGAAAATTTGCCTTTCAGTTAAATATACATATTTACACAAAGGTGGCACTTATTAGATAATACATTGATTCTACAATGGTATTCACATAACTTCATGTCTTCAATATACTGCATGTAAAATAAAAGTCAGAGCTGCATTGAGTAAAATAGAAATATGATTGACAAAATCATTTTAATGGATTTTTAAACAATATAGAAATTTAAACTTTCAAAACTTACAAGGTTAAAAAAAGGCTTATATAACATATGTAACAATTGTTTTATAAAGGACAATAATAAAATTGTTAAATACAATAACTGGAGGATAGACAATCTTTTCAAATAAATTCATAGTACTTTTAAATGTTTACACAATTTAAAGTGTTAGTAATCACAACAAATAATAGAAAATTATGGTTAGAATGCCCTAATCTCTTAAACATTGTTAAAATTTTAGCAATCAAAAAAATGAAGTTAATGCAAATAGCCAAATTATTCCATCAAACTTTGAAAACAAAAGAGAAACACAAAAGCAAGCATGTTGATTTCTTTTTACTAAGTAACTGAAAATTTTGAAAAATGAATGCTAATATAAATTTACCAAAGCTTACATGACATTCGATGAAACTGGTTGTTAGAGAAACATGCATTGAATATTTATAAATGAAAATATAACCAATTGTCTCTAGAGAAATTCTTTCAATTTCACATATTAGACAGTATTATGATTCTCTATTATTTATTGAATAAATGCACAGTGATAATCCTTTCATATTAAAAATGCTAAAGTCTTCTATTTACTCTTTCAGAATTCACTTACTAGATTAATATTAAGCAATAGGGACGGAGCAATATATGTTTGTGTTTGTGATTACTGATAAGTTCCAGAAACTTCAAAACTTTTGAAACTCCAGGTGTTTCTAAAAAGAGATGGTGACAACTACAATATTTAAAAGAGCTAGGTTGTAACCATCTCAAACTCATGCGCTGTATTTCAGACTCCCTGACAGATGTGGTGGTTCTTACAATCCTGTCGGGAGCCTGAGATATGTGAGCTCATCATGCTCACAGCCTATACTTCTCCTCAAACACCTTCTCCTTATCTTAGCCCGGCTTCCAGCAAAATAATGAGAATACACTGAGATTCCAAGAAAAGTGTAAATTTGTTTTTAAGGGAGAAGGATTTTCTTGGATGATTCCAATTCTTGGCCGATACTGTAGTCATTTGAGCTGAACTTGTTCTTTCTCCCTTTTGGTAACATTAAGAAAAAGGAAAGTTAAAACTTAGAACAAAAATACAAATGAGCCATGTTAAACTTGTACATGTTTAGCCTTCATTTATACTTTTTATGTTATGTATTTTTTTTATCAGAGATACTAGATATATCATAGACTTATTTTATGTTTGACAAAATTATATACAGTTGAATTAATTATTATATGTGAAATAATCTTATTATATGCTTCTGTAGTTACGTTTATCCTTTATAATACTTCCAGAACTTGACAATTGATAATTATATCTTGATAATTATATCTTTTCTCTCTTATATTGTACCTCTTGATACAATAATAGAGCTAACAATTTACTGCCCTATATGATCCTAAAACGTTTATTATATCAACTATTTTAATTTCTTTGAGTTCAAAAATAATGTATACAATGATTGATATGATACAGATGAGGAAACTGAGGTAGACAATAGCTACATAATACAGAGATTAGGCCATATGACTAATAAATGAGCCAGCCAGGATTAGAACCTGCAAATCTGCATATCCCTGGAGTCTTGCCTACTTCCTGTTTCTTATGGTAAAATTAATATTTGATAAATAAATAGTGCAAAGCTTTGTTTTTGACTATAACAGAAAAAAATTAAAAGTTGGCAAAACATAATTTCTTGCTTAGCTGAATCTATATAGGGATGCAGTAATTGAAAAAGATAGTTTGACAAGTTCCATGTTGAGCACATTTTTTTCAATAAACATTTAGGTGGTATCAACATGGATATGACACATGGCCTACAACATACTGAGTCTCCATAGTTAAGTGCATCCTGTAATATAATTTACTTCACTTTAGAGATGAGAGTAAAGTTAGGTTCACTGGCTGTCAAACTTCTTCAAGATCTCTTCCCCAATAAATAAGTCATTGCTCATGTTGAAATAGTTTCAATTAACTTACATTTAAAGAAATAGTGAATGTCAAACTAGTATAAATAAAGAGGTTAAATGAATAATCTGAAGTCTTTTGAAGCATATACAATTGAGAAGCAAAAGAAAAACTGGTAAACTCAGGCTTAGTGATAAAATGGAGAAAAATCTATCAAAATACCTATAGTCCATTTTAGAAAAGCAGATATGGTAATCTAATAATGTAATTTAAAATGCATACTAAGTTTCAGATTCCTCTGGGAAACTTACAATCAACTAATTGAAATAATCCAGATTTCCTTTTAATGAGATAAAACAATATTTGTTATAGCAGCACATAGTTAGATCCTTCAAGCAAGTGTTTGGCACTGACTAAGATAACTGTATTTGTCTCATATATGGTATTTCACTCTTCTCAGGAAAGTCTGAAGTTAATTTCAACATCAAAATTGTTGAAATAATTTGGCAACTTACTTTTTTTTTTTTTTTTTGTCTTTTCCATTTTTATCAGTACCAGGGATCGAACTCATGGCTGCCTGCTTTCAAGGCAGGTTCTTATACCACTGAGCTAAATCCCCAGCCCCTGCAACTTACATTTCTAATCTGTGGTAAAGTAACTTATGGTAGTTTATAAAGTAAAGAAAAACACAACTTAGAATACATGTCTTAACATAGTAAAAAGGACTCAATTTTGCTACCCAATAAAAATATGGACAATGTCAATGTACAAGTAAGTAAAATTTGACTAAAATAAGCATTCTAAGAATACAGTCTCCAAAATATGAAGCAGTTTTATAAAGTTTATGAAGCAGTGAAAAATTATTTTGATTTAGAATACTTATGCTTTAGTATTGCATTTAAGATATTTTTTTCACTGAATAACCAGAATAAATA